GCCCAGGATCGGGCCCTTTGCCCCCCACCCCCAGAGTCCCCATGTCCGTCTGTCTGTGCCCCTGGAGCCGGGATCGGGCCTGAACCCCCCCCAGAGGCCTGGGGTGGGAGACGGACACACGGACGGGGCACGGACAGACGGACACACGGATGCTGGGGGCAGGGCCCAATGGGTCTGTCATTGTTTCCAGCCGGGTGTACAACTGTCCATCTGTCTGTCTGGATGTAGAACTGTCTGTGTGTCCGGCTGGACACATAACCATCTGTGTGTCGTGCAGTACATACAGCTGTGGTCGTTTCCAGCGGGATGTACAACTGTCCGTCTGTCTGTCTGGACACACACCTGTCTGTGAGTCCAACTGGATGTGTACTCATCCATGTGTCCAGCTCAGTCTGCCACTGTCCGTATGTCCGGTCAGACATATAGCTGTCCGTGTGTCTGGATGACCCTGCAGCTGTCTGTTGCAACCCTCCATGCATCCATCCATCCACTTGTCCATGTGTCCGGCTGCACACGCAGACATCCGTGTGTCCAGCTAGTCCATCTGTCTGTCTGGACCTGCAGCTGTCCGTGTGTCCAGCTGGATGTGCAGCTGTGCACCCATCCATGTTTCCACCTGGACATTCACCTGTCCGTGTGTCCGGTTGGATGTGTCACCATCCGTACGTCCATCTGGACGTGCACCTGTCCGTTTGCCCAGATGGACGTCCATCTATCCATCCATCCGTCTGTGTGTCTGGCTGTCTGTACAACTGTCCGTGTGTCCAGCTGTCCATACACCTGGACGTGCACCCGTCCATGCGTCTGTCCTCGTCCCCGTCCCCGTTACCACACCGGGGGTGCTGTGGGGTCGGCTGGGGCCCTGGGGGTGCAGTGCTGTGGTTGCACGGCCAGCTGGACACACGGACAGTTGCACGTCTGGCCTGCACACCCGTCCGTCCATCTGTCCCCCCCGGCCCCAGCACTGAGGGGACAAGGGACGGGGCTGGGGCCAGCGCCGCCCCCCTGGAGCCCCAAAACCCCCGCAGCAGC